ATACACTATCATTCCTTCATACGAAACCTATTTGCTGTAATTTGTTACTTTTATCGTTACCTTTGAAGGCGATAAGTTTCCACATACTTTATCATTTACTTATTACTCTTTTCTTTTTTTTTTTTTTTTGGCTCAAGATGCGTGATATTTGCATTCGAATTAAAAAGTATAATGTAAATTCATTTCTGTTTTGCTAACTTTTCTTTTTAGTTTACTTATCGAAAAATAAAATATGTTGGAGGTAGGCTTCCTATGGAACGAATAGAATCGTCGTGAAAGGAATCATGTTAAATCCGTTTTTTCTGCTTTTTTTTTCTTTTTTGATTAACTACTCGTATAAGCTTTTTTTGTCTTACTGTAGATCAATAACAACCACAAAGTGTATTAGTTACTTTCTTTTTCGCCCGATTCAGAAGGATAACACAATTCCATGAAAAATTTCAAACGAATTCAAAACAGAAATGTTCGAAAAACCAAACTGGACATCGGCTAGTAGAGTATCTACATGAACTACGCGCATTCACACCATCATACTTTATGATCACAAGCAAGTACTTTATTATAATTATCATTACCAATAATTAATAATTAATTATTCGTTAAATAAGCGAGTCTGTGTAAAAATTCAGCGTTTTTGTTTTGTTTTTTTTTTTTGTTTCGACACATTCGCACTTTTCTCACTGTCTCCATCCAGTTTATGACCTTGAGCGCAACATTTGCAAAAAATCAGTTTTTTTTACGATTCTTTCGTTTTTTACTTTTCCCCCATTTTTAAATTTTCTTAAACTATCTGTCGTGGCTGGAAGAAGTAACCACTCCATAAAGTTATAAGTCAATCACACTATTTTTTTTCTTTTTAATATTTTACACGTGTTCAATGACACACTTACATTCACCATTATTCATTACACTTCACACATCTTTATAGCTTTTTTTACTTTTTCTTTTATACTTGTCTTAAATAAAGTACATGTAATCTAGCAACCACTATTTTCATTTTTAACCATTCTAAAGTTTCTTTTTCCTCGAAGACTCTCACTGACCGCTGTAACAATCCCCCTGTTATTTTTTCTCAAGGTGTTGTTTTTCTTTAAGATCATCTCAGCTCGCAACTATATCTCAAGATAATTGTTAGTAGTTTAGCAATATTTCTGACGGACGATCTCAATTTGGCATAGTTAACATAATGGGTTTCATTCAACTATCTGTAAACTTTATTACAATGGTCTAAGATGTATTTGTTACTTTTTTTTTAAAGGCATCAGCATAAACCACTGTCACAGCACATGCAGTTCTTGAAAAATCTGCTTCGTGGCGATCTTGTTTCGGTTAATTTTCTTTAACTTTTTTCTTAAATAGCTTTTTTTATATTTTTCATCTCAAAATCGTACACCACTTTCTCGTAACCGATCCGAAAGGCGTTTCTTTTGCTTCTGTTCAAAACTTATACGAGGCATTTTACGACTATACGAATTTTCACACTTTTTACAAGGAAATTTTTCTGTTCGTGTTTCGAAAGAGCGAAATACGTTTTTGCGCATTTACTAACTTGTTTTTCTTTTTTTTTTTTCTTTTTTCAGTCAAATATCGTATCTGATGTCAATACTGAAACTTCAGCGTTACATTACAACCTTTTCAGAGATATTCTGTAACTCCTCGATAATGTATGTACAGTCAGGACATACACAATTCATAAGCCTTGTCTTTTTCTGGTGATTGACTATTATGTACATTAGCTTTAGAGGCACATCTTGCGCGCCAGTTGGCTTTACAGAATTATCACCGACGATTTGACTCAATAATTAGTACAGCTTTTTTTTTTTATTGATGATCGAGACTGAAAGTTACTGTAACTTTTTCTTTTATACAGGTTCGATCATTTTGCTTGTGTTTTACATACATATTTTAGTCTTGCATTAGTAAGCAGACTCTTCTAGCTGTTTATACTTTTATAACGGATAACTTGCAATAGAGGTAATTTTGCAGTAGAAAAACATTATTGTGTTATTTACCCCACGTTTCTTAGTGTCCATTTCACTGACCACTGTAGAACTGTATACGACCGCCTGCAGTTACTGGCATTTCTCTCATAACAGCGTCCCATGCTACATTTAGGAGAAAGAAAGAAAAAAACACATGAAAATACAAAATATTTTAATTTCTATTAATGATCTAATTAATTTTTTGTCATAACAAAATTTCAATTGACTATTACAAACACGTTGTCGACCGAACCCTTTCGGGTTTGATCCGTGTCCAATAATTTTTGATATCCGACGTTTCACCAACATTGTAGCTAGATCCTCAGGGTTCAGAGACACACTGATAATTATCATTTATGTGGGAAAGCCACTAATAATTATCAGTATGTCTCTAAATTTTGATGAAACTAGCTACAATGTTGACAAAACGTCAGATATGAAAAATCATTAATAATAATTTAGCAATCCAGACCGTGAAAGCCTCAAAACTCTCATATTACAAATACACTCTGTGTTAAAAAAAAAAAAAGACTAAAATATCTCAGAATTTAATCCACCAACTTTAATTATTTTTTAGATAGTGATACTTTAATACTATTACATACTTTCATAAGCTATCAAAAGAGACAAATTCTGAAGAAAAATGTACTTACCTAAGCCAACAAATGAGACGATCTTATCATGATTGTACGTCTGTATATTAACGTCTTCTTCAGGAGCTACATAAAGCATAGAAAAATCTTCTTTCGGTTGATGATGATACTTTTCCATTATTCCCGGTGGAGGTGTAGGTGGTGGTGGTAGACACGTAGGAGGAGGAAATCTCGGAGGATAACCCATGCACGGTAATCGCTGCACCATCACCGGATGCATAGGCTGTTGCGTTACATGCGTGTTCGGAGGTTGCATGAAATTAGGCGTAAATTTTTCACATTTCACGTGTTTGTCGAATATCGGAGGATATCTATCAAAATTAGAAGGTGGTTTGTTCATGAGAGGTGGAACTACAGAAGGAAACACAGAACTGGCACTCGAAGTCCCTTCGACAGTCGAATCTTCGGACAATAAAAGTTGTTCGTTAATTTCAAAACCAAACCTAAGTTCCGTGGGCAACTCACTGTTCTTAGTGACATCAGATGATGTTTCGTCTAACAATATCACTGCAGGTCTCGAAGTTTTTTGCTTATTGGATATCTGTGACTCCACTTTTTGTGGCTGATCTTTATCCAGTGTTGCATTTTGTTGTTTAACTTTCTTAGGTTCTGTATCTTCTTGTTGCTCTTGCTTCGAACTCACAGAATGCGTATTTCCAGATTTAATCGTTTCGTGTTTAACATTGACATTTTGTTCCTTTGTAGTTTTCATTAGTTTTTCACTTTTTGATAACTTGCTGATATCCGAATCGATATTCGCTTCTTGCGTCGGTTTTGGATTATTTTGAATATTGGTTTTTTGCGATTCAGCTTCATCAGCTGACCCAGTCGCTGGATTATTTTTATTCTCGTAATGCGTATTGGAAATTTCAGCGTTTTGCAATTTTTTCGTGCTCTCGTCGTGATACGGATACCCAGTCTTCTTAAAATGTTGATCTTCATGCGATGCTTGATTTTGTACATTTTGATTGTTTTGAGTATATGCACCACGACGTGCTCGAGGATTGTTACACCTGCTGTTCGCAATCGTATCTTTGCTATTAACACTGTTGCAAGTAGAGTTATTGTTGTCAGAATCGGGGTTACAATTTGTCACGGTATTATTGAGCTTCGGTGGTACTGGATTCGTTAACGAAACCTCGTTCGATGTTGTTGTACTATGATTGTTAGAATTCACCGTTTTTTGTTCTTGTTGCGTTAAATTTTGACACATTTTTTCAACATCTTGTACATACTTGATAACTTGAATATTCTTGTTAATGGCTTCTTCTTGAATCTCTGCCTTCTTTCTTTCCGTTAAATTTTTCATCTTCGTCAGAGTTGGCGAAGGTGGTTTCTCAAAACTAAGATTTAAAATATGATTCGAATGAGTGAAGTTATGTTGCCTCGTTTTTCTATCCGAGTGTTGCAATTCGTCCAAGCTGGGATAATAGTCTTGAGGAATCTTGTCGGGTTCCGAGGGCGTTTTAGGTGGCACACTGGGCCACGAAGATGTATTCAACATATTCGGAACTATCGTAGACATATTCAACACTGAATTGTGAGTCATATTAATAGTTGCCATACGAGCAATATCCGCGTAACTTGCTTGCGGCGTTCCGCCCGTTGAGGTAGCTACTTTTGATAAATTATGTTTGGACGTGTTCGATGTGACTGGTAATGAATGGACAGAATCTGAATCACTACTGTCCGATTTATCACTGCAAATAATAATTATTTTAATACAACTAGTGCACATTTAATAATATAGATTGTAACTTATACTTAATGTATTAATATTTAATTCATTTGATGAACTTTACTTCTTGAAATTATTCGTATAAAAAACAAAAAAAAAAAAGAAATTAAAAGAAAGTCATACTAATTACCTTGGTGGCATACTGCTTGCTGATTTTCTTCTAAGTTCAGGAGAAAGCGGTGTTCTACATTCATTAGAGAATCCTCTGGAATTTTGAAGATAAGATCCGGACGTTGTTAAATTCTGTGCTCTACTACCACTGGAACTTCTCCTCTGTTTTTTACTCTTCTTCTTTTTCGTAACTACCAGGAATTCTGTTTCGTGTTCTGGCTCTGGATTGATTTTTTTATTGGAGTTTCGACGACTAGCATAATCATCTCCGGTATCATTGCAATATATAGACTGACCTTCTTCTGTTCCCCAGGATCGTCTATCACCACGACTATCGATAGCTGCATCCCCTGTGCTTCTTTCTTTCGCACGGCGTAAAGCAACATTGATCGTGCCTGCTCAAGTGAAATAAAAAGTCATTGTTAACTTTCGCTTTGTTGCAACGTAACTTAAGTAACGAATTTTTGTAAACCGAATTACTTACCTTGTTGACTCGATATACTGCTGGCACCACTGGAACTAACACTTTTTTCTGTTGTGAGGTCTTCGAGTTTAGTCTTAGATATCTCTTCAAGAGAATTCGATTTCTGTAACTTGGTAGATAATTGTTCCCTTTTAGTATCCTTTTCTCTACTCCTTGGTTTAGATCCTGAACTAGCTTTTACTCTGACTGAATTACTTGGTTTTCCTTTTTTACTTTTAGATTCCTTATTCTCAATAAAATTAATTAAGCTGTCGATATCTTCATTACGATGACCTTCAACGTTTTCCGCATTATATGTAATGACATTAAGTTCTTGGTTGGACTTTTTCTTAATCTTTTTTCGTTCTCCATTATAGTTTTGCACTGGATTCCCATTTTCATCCAAAGATTTCTTTTCTCCAGATCCAGTTGTATGCGCTGTATACCTGGAGCCTTCTGTGCAAAAGGTATACATTTTACTTTGTTATAAAACTAAAACTTCGTGTACGTTAAGGTACCATCTTATAATAAATAAATTCAATAAATATTCAATAATTTTAGTATATCACATACCCATTGTGATATTCTGTGTTTGTAAGGATGCAGACATCATGGAGCATAAACTTGGAACTACTTTACCCTGACTAGCACTGGAACTGTTTGCAGTTCCACCAATACCACATTTCACACTATTAAAAGTTTGAAAGGAGAGGGATCCAGTTACCTCTGTACCATTAACAGATATTTTTGATTTATCTTGTTTTCCACTATGTTCACGCAGAGAAAAATCTATAGCAGTATCCACAGGAGTTTGAGCTATATCGAAAGTAGTGCGTGATATATACTGAGGTCTACGTGGTTCAATAATTTTCATTTCAATTCCTTCATCATCTTCTGTATCTAAGGAGTGAGGTCTCTGAACCCCACCTATAGTGGATCCCACATTCCTTTCACTAATAGTACTCACCTATAATGACCAAGTAAATAAATAAAATAAATAAATAAATATGAAATAAGGAAAATGACATTTACATATGAATAATTGTATTAGTAATATATGAATTTACCTCAGCATCACCTAAATCAATCACCATGTAATCTGACTTATACTCTGGTGGTGGATTATCTGATTCAAGCATTTCATTTGTCCCGTGTTTTCCTTTATTACCTCTTTTCTCACGTACTTCAATTTCGGTTTCACACAAATCTTTTTTTGTATCTTTTTTATCTTTTTCTTTTTCCTCCTTTTTTGTACTAATGTATGATGGTTTGTCTAACGATTTGGATTTTTCTTTATTGGTCCAATCATATGTTGTCCTTTCTTCACAGAAGACCTTCTTTAAAAGTCAGAAAAATTAATATTTCATTAAACATAAGTAGAACATCTTAATATTATATTGTATAAAACTCATAGCTGTATGACTATATGTCTAAAGTGTAATTTTGTACTA